AGTTTTAGGTAAACAGGACACTTGTTAGGACCAAATTTTGGGGCAGTTGAGAAGCTCGCAATCAACGTCATCAATCAAATTACTTCATATAAAAGCTATCTTCAAATAATAATGCTCCATTTATTTGCCACAGGCTTTGAAAAAGAAACATGAAGCTTTTGAGAGTGATTTAGCTGCTCATCAAGACAGAGTGGAACAAATAGCAGCAATTGCTCAAGAGCTGAAGTAAGTGTTTCTACACTTTGAAATTCTTCTGTAAAAATTTTTGAATATTTCTTCAAATATTTAGAAATGCAAGTCTTTGCAGATGTAAATCTTTTTAACTATTGCTTATTTTTAATGTAAAATGAGAGGGTATTGAGCACATCAACTGTATTTTTTATGTATTAAATCTTATTAATGTCGACTTCCGATCAGAGCATGCTATTTACTTAGATAAAAAATTAAAACCAATTTGGCAATTAGTTTATTTAATTAATTTTTTTTTATTGAATTTCCATCTATAACGATTAGACTTTAACAGATTCATTCGTCGGGAATCGAAGTTTAATGATGAACAACAGAATGATGACAGCAACAACAAACATTTAACAAGTGTGAGTACAGTAACAAACTTGAATTAGATTCTTGAATGTTTTGGAATATACATATTCCATCTTCAGTTAGCTATATTGAACAGAACAAATTATTAGGTGAAACATTTATAAATTTAAACATTTTATAAAAGTTAATTAAAATACAGAATAAAAGGATGAAGTAAATTAAATGACAACCAAACAAACAAAGAATAGGATAATGCAACAATATTATACAAACATTCAAAACAGACTTAACTGTAGTGAAGTTGTTATTATTTAAAGTTGGGGGTTCATTTATAATAGATAAACTTTCTTTAATTAAAAGTTCAATATTTGATGATCCAGATGAGATGACTTTGAAATTCGTAATCAAGACAGGGTGGTTAGTGTTTTCACCATGTGTGCTGATTGTGGAGTCTGGTAGAATTGATAGTTTTTACCAGTTCTGCCTGATACTCCCATATATTCGCAGGTGTAATTGGTGTATAATTTTGCCAATGTAAATGGCATTACAGCCACCACATGTATTTATATACGATCCTGGAACACATAGGGGTAGGTAATAGGCCTTTAGATTGGAATAGATTTTGTATTTTGAAAGGTGATATAAATGTATTCCGATCTAGAGACCTGCTTGCTTTTTATAAAATGTTTAAATTTATAAATTTTTGTACCTAGTAATTTACTCTGTTCAGTATAGCGTGCTGAAGATGGAATATGTATATTCTGAAACATTCAAGAATTAAATGTTTATTACCGTACACACATGTCAAATTTTGTTGTTGCTGTTGTCATTCTGTTGTTCATGATTAAACTTTATTTCTTTCATCAGTTGGGTATCCTTGCTGTCAACAATATTTTTGGCTATAATCCCAATAATATCTTGCAAAGTTCAACCAGCTTAGGAGACATAGTTATATGAAGCTACAAATGCGAAACTATGACTATAATAATAGATAAATAAAATTAAAAACTACTAGCATTTAGTATACTTAACAGTCTAACCAATACTGTTAATAAAAGTAACAATAAATAAATAATATAGTATACCTTACTTATGGAATGCAGAAACACTAGCTGTTGGCTTGACCCACTGTCGTAGAATTAATTTTCTTTGCAAAATGTAACATCAGTACTAGTGACAAACATTTTATTCTAAAATTGTTGAATTGTAGGGATGGGAAAAGATAAAAAATTAGACAGTATTTGGGATACAAGGAAAATTAGCATTACCCATTCCTGCATTCCACCACTCATACACTGTACTCACAGGATGGATGGATGTATATGTTAAGTGGAAAAAGATAAAAAACTAGACTATTTGAGATGGGAGGAAAATCTGCATTTCCCATTCCTGCATTCCACCACTCATACACTGCACTAACAGGGTGGATGCATATGTATGTTAGGTGCATTTATAGGGTGGCCTGTTTTCTAGATGTCAAGGAAAGTTAACCAAACTTTAAAGGCAGTTTTGTACTTGATTAGTGAAGGGCTTTTGGTTCTTATTCCGTAGTGTATGAGCTACCAGAACCATATGCAATGTACAGGCCACCATTTTTAACCAGACCCATCCCTACATAAGGATCACTATGGTACTCCCTGACAACTTGCCTGAATTTTCTTCAGTTCTCCCTTATTGTCTTTTGTCCAATGAAAACTAATTAAGTCAATCCACACTGTAACCTAAGAGGAGAGTGGCATCTGTGACAAACTTAGTACAACTCATGTTACTATTTCAACTGTGTCGAGTTATTAACAGTAATTTACCTATGATACATCCATAAACTAATGTTTATGAAGATACAAAATAATAAAAGAATACTTGAATTGTCTATGGAAATATAAAAGTGTTAAACATAATACAAAGAAAACATCATAAACATACTATGAGGTACATCTAAGTATTTTTTATGTTAATGAATGAGTACTGTATTCTTAAAATGAAGGCTGTGTAGATTAGGCTCATTTCAAAATTTTCATACCTCTTTGTTCTGTACATAAAAATATTGCATTCATGTTTATAATTTTTTATCTTATTCTTGTAAAATAAACATAAAATAATTTGAAAGAAACCAGTAAAGATTTTATAAAACTCTTAGTACAGATTAATTTCCCAAATGTATTAAATTTCTATGTTGTCTTATTTTTCTTTATGTGAAGCTACATGAGATCTTAAATTATTATTCAATAATATGTTCGTATCATAAAATAGAGTAGCCATAGATCTAGGGAGGTAACAATATATTAAAATACTCAAACAACCAACATTGTATAATACATAATTAAAATTTTATTTAAAAAACTGATCCATGGTCATAAAAGACACTGCATGTGTTTCAACTTCATTTATGTCATCTTCAGGAGTGTGAAAAACAAATTTTAACCTTTTAACATATCGTGATATTTTATAAAACAATACTTGATACAAAGCTTATGTGTTGCAATACAACAGTAAACATGTAAAAGCATATTTTCATTTTTAATCTCCCACAGTTATTCATCTGCAAATCATTAAAAAAATACTTAGTTCTATGATCCTGTGGTTGTATGTAAATTACACCTGGTGTATCCAAATATACAAAGTGTATGTGTAACATGAAATAGCAAGCAGCGAACAGCAGTTATCCCTCTTGCTACGGGTCTATGGTCAGGGGTCAAAGGGCATGTCATTACATTTATAGACTTGCATTCAAAATTTTATTAATCTACTATTTTATGAATGTATGCCAATAATTTTGGTATCACATTGTATATTATAATTCAAATTTCAGTATTATACATAAGTTAATTTCTTAATTTAAAACAAAATTCCTAAATATCAATTTTTGTGTTGTGGTATGTTGAATGCAGCTTTTGTTCCAATTAGATGTTTGTGATGTACAAAGTCTATATTTTCTTACAAATTAGAAACTGAAATTACCAATATTGACTAGCTAGAATATAAAATAAGAACCTCCTATCTTTTCTGTTTGCTGAGATATCACTACATTTAGTGAATCAAACACAGAGGCCCTGCTCACCTCTTTCCATTTTTGGAAATGCTTACACCT